ATCTTTGGCTGTAGGTTCTTACTATTCATCACCTTGAATATTTCTTGCCATTCCCGTCTGGCCTGCATGGTTTCTGTTGAGAAATCAGCTGACAATCATATAGGTGCTCCTTTTTTTTTTTTTTTAAATATATATTTTATTGATTTTTCACAGAGAGGAGGAGAGAGGGATAGAGAGTTAGAAACATTGATGAGAGGGAATCATCGATTAGCTGCCTCTTGCACACCCCCTACTGGGGATGTGCCCGCAACCACGGTACATGCCCTTGACCGGAATCGAACCCTGACCCTTCAGTCCGCAGGCCAACGCTCTACCGCTGAGCCAAACCGGTCCCGGCTAGGTGCTCCTTTATAGGTAACTACCTGCTTTGCTCTTCCTGTTTTTAATATTCTCTCTTTGTCTTTTGTTCTTGGAATTTTAATTATGATTTGTCTTGGTGTGGTCCTCTTTGGATTCCTTTTGTTTGGAGTTCTGTGCACTTCCTGGACTTGTAAGTCTAATTCTTTCACCAGGTGGGGGAAGTTTTCTGTCACTATTTCTTTCAGTATGTTTTCGATATCTTGCTCTCTCTCATCTTCTGGGACCCCCATAATTCTGATGTTGGTTCGCTTGAAGTTGTCCCAGAGGTTTCTTACATTATCTTCAATTTTCTGGATTCTCTTGCCTTCTTGCTTCTGTGGAGGAGTGTCTTCTGGCTCTTTATGTTCCAAATCTTTGACTTGATTCTTGCGACCTTCCATTCTGTTTTTAGGACTCTGTATAATATTTTTTATTTCAGACAATGTATTCTTTATTTCTTGTTGATCCCTTATCACTTCTTGTTGATCCCTTTTCATATCCTCAAAGGTCTTATCGACCTTTTCTAGGAAATTCTTGAAAAGCCTTATAAGTGTAGATTTGAACTCTATACCCAGTCGCTTTTTGTCCTCCATTTCTTTCGTTTGTGATCTATTTCGTTGCATTTTCGCAACTTCCCTGATGGGGCGGGGTTTCAGGGTGGAGCCTGCAGCCTTGGCTTCCGTCAGCCCCGCCCTAAGTGGTTCCTGAGTCTCAGTAATCCCCAGGGTTCTTCAGTACTCGCTGCAAGCACCTCTGAGAGAAAGGTGCCCTCGATTTTCACCTGCTACCAAACAGTCTAGGCTCTCCCCCAATGAGCCCGGAATTGGGGTTCAGTTCAGTTGGAAGTGGAGTTGGAGGTGGCGTTCAGAGCAGTCTGGAGCCCCTGTCTCCTTCCCGCCAGGGCAATCCCGAGGCACAGCCGGCCGTCCCTTCTCTGCGTGCAATGTGCGCACCTCTGGGACCTCCTTTCGCCGCTCCCTCGGGGTTCCACCTTATAGCCCAGCTCCCTATGGATGAGTTTGGGTCCCCAGGGTCTGGCCCAGTACTGGGGTTCAGAGCAGTCAGAACTGGGGCCCAGCACAGTCGGAGCTTTTATCTCCTTCCTGCTAGGGAACGCCAGCCAGGCACTCAGCCTCCCTCCTCTCCGGCTCCGTCCTCTCCGCGTGCGCCGTGTCTCCGTACCTTAAACTTACAGCTCCTCCACGCTTCCTTCTGGTTTTCTCCTTGCTTCTCGTTGTAGAATTTCCAGTCAGTCGACTTTCCTGTAGTTCTGGGTAATGTCCATTTTGTATTTTAGTTGTATTTTATTGAAATTGTTGTGTGCGGCTGCGGCTAGGTGTTTACCTGTGCAGCCATCTTGGATCTGGGCCCATAAATACATTTTAAATAAAGGAAAATGTCTTAGTCAAAAAAAAGTTTTATGTGAATTAATATAAGTATTTGCTCTAAACTGTACTTCATATTCTCAACTCCTCTCAAAGAGATATTAATTGATGCTATGTTCACTTAATATTAATTGACCTTATGTTCACTGACTACAGAACTGACTTCTGATATTCAGTTGAGCCTTCAGTAGTTTTGGATGTTACGGACCCTGGCTCTTTATAGATAAAGATAATTGTCCGTTGCAGGAAGATTCCTCTAATAGAGCTTACTGCTGCGGTCACTGCCCTGCCTGCTTCCCTCCCTTCTCAGCCGCCCTGCTTGCTCCTCTGCAGCTTCGCTCCCTTCTGCAAGCTCGGCTTCTTTCTAGCCTGTCTTGATATGCAGATTAAGATATGCATCTTGGTTTGGTTAATTTACATACTTGCCCTGATTGGCTGGTGGGCGTGGCTTGTGTAGCAGAGTGATTGTTAATTTGTATATTACATATTACTCTATTATTAGGTTAGATTATTTTTTAATTTTTTTATTATTTATTTTTCACAGAGAGGAAGAGAGAGGGACAGAGAGCTAGAAACATCAATGAGAGAGAATCATTGATCAGCTGCCTCTTGCACACCCCCTACTGGGGATGTGCCTGCAACCAAGGTACATGCCTTGACTGGAATCGAACCCGGGACCCTTCAGTCCGAAGGCTGACGCTCTATCCACTGAGCCAAACCGGTTTCAGCTATTAGGTTAGATTATTGTTGAAAGTATTACAGATGTCCCCCTCTTTTTTCCCCATTGACCCCCTCCACCTTCCACCCCTCTCTCTCTGTCCAGGCTTTCACTACATTATTGTCTGGGTCCATGGGTTATGCATATATGCATATGAGTTTTTTGGTTAATCTCTCCCCACCCACCTTGCCTTCCCTCTGAGATTCATCAGTCTGTTCCATGCTTCTATGTCTCTGGATCTATTTTGTTCATCAGTTTATTTTGTTAATTAGATTCCATATATATGAGTTAATTAGATTCCACATATGAGTGATATCATGTGATACTTGTCTTTCTCTGATTGGCTTAGTTTCCTTAGCATAATACTCTTCAGACAATCCTATATAATAAAAGGCTAATATGCAAATTGTTCCCTTGACCAGGAGTTCGACCAGGGGGCAGGGCCAGCTGGCCAACCTCCCGTGTTCCCCCTCCCCGCCATCTCTCCTCCCTGCCAGTCTGGCCCGATTGGCCCCAATCAGGTCTGGTTGCCAGACCCCACCCATGCACGTATTCGTGCACTGGGCCTCTAGTTTATTTATAAAATCACAGAGGTAGAAGTAATTCATAGAAGAAATGGGCTGAGGAAACAAGTTGTAGAGGCAAAGGAAGCTTGGAAAGCAGAGAGGAGGGGCAGGAGGGAAAGGTGAGGGTGTGTTCCCAGGAGGGAGAGCAGGTTGGGTCTGCCTTTCTTCCCAAAGGTTTGAGATTTTAGGGGATGTCCCAGGGAAAGATCTCAATAGAATATTCAGCAGTTTCCCAGGTGTGGTCTCCATTGACTGATGGACCCACACGGGGCAGGAGGTCATTATTCAATACAGCTGGTCCTGAGGTCAAGTGTGGCAGGCTCTGCTGCTCTTCTGGGCCTGGAGCTGAAATACAACTGAGGCCTAGATGTTATCTCTAGGGAGGAAAGGGCAGGGAGTCCAAGCTGCATGACCAGCAATGTGCCAGGGGAGGAAAGGCCCCCCTGAGGGCAAGGTCCTCCCCTGAATTTGCCTTTGCTAGGCACGCAGGGTTTCCCACCCTGGGACCTTCTGCACCTGACCCATTGTCCTCACTCTGCTCAAATCTGTCTAACTGCCTACCACACTCACATTTCTATATATATATATATATTTTAATTGGTTGATTCTTGTCTGTATCCTGACTGGGAATTGAACCCTGACCTTGGTATATTGTGACAATGCTCTAACCAACTGAGGTACAATGCCACGGCTATATATTTTTAATCTAATTGTAGTCTGAACCAGGGCTTCATCAATGGGCTTTTATACAACAGTTTATGAATTCCCATATGAAGGAATCCTGGAAATTTGTCTTTTCTAGCTCCTGACCATTTTACCCACTCGAGTGAAAAAGAGTCAAGCGAAGGGCCCCTGGCCCTGTTACCAAACTTTAACCGGCTTACCCAACTTGCTGCCCAACCTGATTGCTGGTGAGGTTTCTTCACAGTCTTCCCTAAAGGCAGGTAAAGGAAGACTTGCCTGAGGCCCTTTAATGTTGGCATTCTTACAGGGAGTCAGCTCTGCCTATTCAGCCTTTGGTAATGCTGTACTAAACTTTTGTTTCAACCTCATCAATATCCATTTTAGTTATCCCAATCTTTTTTAAAAATTGAAGCTTTCCACTCTGGTGATAAGAGTTCTGTGACTCACCCTTTACTTTGTTTCACGCTTATTAATATTTAAAAATACTGTAGGCACCTCATTCTGTTTACTTGATTTGGAACACCAATGATGAGAATCATTGATCAGCCATTTCCTGCATGCCCCCTACTGGGATCAGGCCCACTACCCCGGCGTGCCCTTGACCAGAATCGAACCTGGGACCCTTCAGGCTGCAGGCCAACGCCCTATCCACTGATCCAAACCAACTAGGGCCACTGATCTCTTGGACACTGTTCCTTTGCTTTTTCAGTACAGCCTTCCTTCCTGGTCTGAGCTCTCCCAAATTTGCTTTAACAAATAATTCCCAAACACTGGACACTTGGGGAGTTTTCCCTTCGCTGTTTTCACACCCGCTTTTCCGTGGAGGGGAAGCACTGGGTCCTCCGCTCAGAAACAAAAGAGTTGCGGAAACCGGTTTGGCTCAGTGATAGAGCATGGGCCTGTGGACTGAAAGGTCCCAGGTTCGATTCTGGTCCAAGGGCATGTGCCTTGGTTGCGGGCACCTCCCCAGTAGGGGGTGTGCAAGCGGCAGCTGATCGATGACTCTCTCTCAACTCTCTGTCCCTTTCTCTTCCTCTCTGTAAAAATTATTTTAAAAAAGAAAAAAAAGGAAGAAACGGAAGACGCTTCAGAAGCTTCTCTCGCTGTTGAAAGAAGTCCACGCCTGGCACTCAGCGGGGTCACCGCACACAGCCCGCTGCGGGCGGGGGCGGGGGCCGGGGCCGGGGCCGGGGCTGATTGGCCGCCGCGGACCCAGCCCCCTCGCCCATTGGCGGGCGGCGCGGCCGGATTGGCGGAGCCCGTGGGGCGGGCTCAGCGCTGCCCGCGGCCTGCTCGCTGCGTGCGGAGATGGCGACGGCGGCCGGGCTGCTGGCGCGGCGGGTGCGGAGCTGGAGGCTGCGGGCGCCGCTGCCGCCGCCGGCCCGCGTCCTCCCGCGGCGGGCACACTCGCTGCTGGCGGTGGACGACGCCATCAACGGGCTGAACGAGGAGCAGAAGCAGGTAGGGAGCCTGGCCCGCCGCCCGGCCCCGAGGCCTCCGGGCCTGGCCCGTCTGCCAGCTTCGGGGTCGCCTGGGCACTCGCCGCCCCCCTCCTGCCGCCCGGGGTGAGATGCGGGGCAGCAGGGAAGCTGCTGGCGCCGCGGGTGTCCGTGCCGGTGGAATTCGGTGAAAGGGGCCTCCGTCTGCTGAAGGAACGCCAAGGTTAATCATTATCCCCAGCAGATCGCTTTCCCACGCACACCCCGGGGCTCTGACAGGCAGCGGGATATCACCCCCGGAGTCAGAGCCCAAAGTGGAACAGCACACTTGGAAGGGGCCCTGCACCGGGGCCGGCGCAGAGCCCTCCCGGAGGGAGGGAGGAGGCTGCTCGCCGGGACAGGTTCCGCCGGCAGGTGATTTTCCTGCGGGACAGCGGGGACAGCGGTGCGTGGCAGAGCCTCCGGGAACTCCGAAGCCCGCTCGGCTTTACAGGCAGCAGGCAGCGCCTCAATTACGCCGGAGCTCTGGGTCTCAAACTTTCCTGCCAAGAGGAGTTTCTAATATCCTTGAATAATCCCTTTTATTTTTATTTTTTTTTAAATACATACTTTATTGATTTTTTTAGAGAGGAAGAGAGAGGGACAGAGAGTCAGAAACATCGATGAGAGAGAAACATCGATCAGCTGCCTCCTGCACACCCCCTATGGGGGATGTGCCCACAACCAATGTACATTCCCTTGACCAGAATCAAACCTAGGACCTTTCAGTCCACAAGCCACGGAGCCAAACTGGTTTTGGCTGAATAATCCCTTTTAGACAAAGGGCAGAAAAGAGCCGACAAGTGCTTACAAGGAGGGAGGGGGGTGTTTTTACTGGGGAAGGCTGGACGAGTCAGTTCATGCAGGGCCTTGTCCTAAGCACAAAGGAAAGCCATGGGATGATTTTATGTAGAGGAGTGACATTTAAAAAATACTCATTGCCAAAACCAGTCTGGCATCGGTCTGCGGACTGAAAGGTCCAAGGGCATGTACTTTGGTTGTGGGCACATCCCCGGTAGGGGTGTGCAGGAGGCAGCTGATGGATGTCTCTCTCTCATCGATGTTTCTAGCTTTCTATCTCTCTCCCTTCCTCTCTGTAAAAAATCAATAAAATATATTTTTAAAAAATACTCATTAAGCAGTCTAGACAGAGGACCTCAAGAAAGAGGGGTGGAGAGGATCTCTGAGGAAGCGTACACTTAAGTTGCAGTCTGATGTGTCTGGTGAGGCATCACGGAGCCTGCCTCCCTGAATGTGCCTCTTCAGCGGCTGTCACGTTCTGTTAAAGAACTGTCACCTCTCTCCCTCTAGCTTCGTCACACCCTGTCTAAGTTCCTGCAGGAGCACCTCGCCCCCCAGGCCCAGGAGATCGATCAAAGCAATGAATTCAAGAACCTCCGGGTGAGTCTTAAGGCCCACACTGGGGGCGCAGGGGCAGTCCGGGAGCTGGGCTGTGCTGGGAGTTGCCCTGCAGCCAAGAACTCATAGAGTCTTTGGGTAAATGACACCCCCTTAGAAGGGCAGCCCCTTTCGATGAAGTGTTTGGGGCTCTTGGCTCCAGGGGTCCAGGCACCTGTGGCTGGCTGCCTTCTCACTACTCACTGTGCTCCCTCCATTCTGCTGGCAGGAGTTCTGGAAGCAGCTGGGGAAGCTGGGAGTCCTGGGTATCACAGCCCCTGGTGAGTAGTTCCATTCCCTAAGGAGAACCTTTCTCTGTGTCTTGCGTGCCCTTTAACACCAGAACTAAAAGAAGCAGGAAAGGAGTGAAAAGATTGAAGAAAAAAAAAAGGGGGGAGGGGGGAGGAATTGTGCTCAAAGAAACCCAGAACTTCCTCCCGCTGGGTCCTAGGTCCTAGGAAAGCTCCCATTGGCTGTCAGCCTTTCTATTTTTGGGGGCAGCAGGAACTTGGAATAGATGCTACAAGGATGTTTCTCTGCTGTTGACGGCTGCTAGGTTCCTGTCAATGCCCAGGTTTAATCTGAGCTGCCTTTTCTGTTCCCCTGCACAACCTCCGCTTCCAGTCCAGTATGGCGGCTCTGGCTTGGGCTACCTGGAACACGTGCTGGTAATGGAGGAAATATCCCGAGCTTCTGGAGCCGTGGGACTCAGCTACGGTGCCCACTCCAACCTCTGCATCAATCAAATTGTACGCAATGGAAATGAGGCCCAGAAGGAGAAGTACCTGCCCAAGGTGAGTAGATGGGCGTGGAGAAACACACGCTGACCTTCGTGCAACCACCAGACTCGAGACACCCTGCTGTCGAGGGCTAGTCAGATTTGCTCTCCTGTAGCATGCTGCCCTGAACCAGATGTAGTTAGGAAGGAGTCAGGAGTTTGCTTTCAAATACTTAAGTCAAAAAAGTTAAAAAACACGACCAAGCCTTCTGAGTTCATCATTGGACAGCATTTGCAAGGCGCACTCTCAGAAACTGAAGACTAGGACTTGCTTCTGTGCAAAGGGACTAGGAAAAGGGAGAGATATTTTCAGCCATGTAGTTACTGGGCTTCTTTTATAAGACTTTACCAAAGGCTGGTCTTTGAGAGAAGTTTTGAAGGGGTGTCATGTGTGCCGTGCCAGCACAGCCAAGGGTTTGGCGAGCCTGAGGGAGGGCGGCGAAGGATGTAGAAAAGACAGAAAAAGAGAATAAGCTGGGTCTAGGTGGATCTCCTGTGCCTGGCTGAGGCCACAAAGCAGTGGTCGGCAAACTTATTAGTCAACAGAGCCAAGTATCAACAGTACAACAATTGAAATTTCTTTTGAGAGCCAAATTTTTTAAACTTAAACTTCTTCGAATGCCACTTCTTCAAAAATAGACTTGCCCAGGCAGTGGTATTTTGTGGAAGAACCACAGTCTGCCAACCACAACCACAGAGAAATGATCCAGATGGCAAGCTGAGCCTTTATTTTATAGCCAGAGGTAAATAAGATTGTGGTCACCATAGTTACAGTGTTCTTGTGAGTTTCACTTGTTTTGGCAGCACTTGCTGCACCTCCCACAGCCCATTAGCTATCCAGGAAGGAGCAAGGGAGTGTCATCAGGTCAAGCTTAATTATGCTAAGAGGGCTGCCCCCGAAGCTGGGACTTGTTTGCGGCTTTGCCAACAGATCAGTCTGAGGCTTAACCCTATAGCCGCTCCCTACAGTCATGCAAACAGGCAGGAAGTATCTCGCTCCTGTAGGTACTTCTGAAGTCATAACCAAGCCCTTTGGGGTTTTCCTTGCAGCTGATCAGCGGTGAGTACGTCGGAGCCCTGGCCATGAGTGAGCCCAATGCTGGCTCTGATGTTGTCTCCATGAAGCTGAAAGCTGAAAAGAAAGGTGAGGCCTCTCTGGACCCGGGAGCTGCAAAGGACAGAGGGGCAGTAACTGGGGTGGCCTCGGCTAGACTTCCAGGACCGTTTCCAGCTGGGCAGCATCCGCTCAGCAGGTCTGTGGACTGAGATGGACCACCAACATGGCCGGTGTTAAGTAGCCAAATTCTTGTCCTTAGGAGATCACTACGTCCTGAACGGCAACAAGTTCTGGATCACCAACGGGCCTGATGCCGACGTCCTTGTTGTCTATGCCAAGACAGACCTGGCTGCTGTGCCAGCTTCTCGGGGCATCACGGCCTTCCTCGTGGAGAAGGTGAATGGAGTGGGAGAGCAGTGGGAGGCGTTGGTGATGCCAGAGATAGATCCCTTCCCCTGATGGCAGACACCAGCTGCCCTGTGTGCCTTGCCAGGGCGCCCCGGGTGGAGGTGAAGAGCAGACCGAAAGGAGGGTGGCAGACAGTGGAGTCCAGGGAGGTGCGTCTAAGACTGAGGTTTTTGGAGCCGCCCACCGAGCCAGGCCACACCCAGGGCCAGGGTGAGGGGGACTGGGTTTGACAGTGAAGGCGCCATCAGGGGGCTGCTGAGAGCAGCTGTGCAAGACCGAAGTGGAAGTGTGAATGGGAATGCGAGTGGAGATGGAATGAAGACTGCACCTTTCAAATATTTTTTTAAGTATATTTTTGTTGATTTCAGAGAAGAAGGGAGAGGGAGAGATAAAAATATCAGTGGTGAGAGAGGATCATTAATCAGCTGCCTCCTGCACACACTCCTCCACTACTGGGGATCTAGCCTGCAACCTTGGCCTGTGCCCTTAACTGGAATTGAACCCAGGACCCTTTGGTCCACAGACCGACTATCTACTGAGCCAAATCTAGGGCCAGATCTTTTTTTTTTTTTTTTTTTTAATCAATCTTTATTGTTCATATTATTACAAAGGTTCCTCATTTCTTCCCCCCTCCACTAGGTTCCCACCCCACCCTCCGACCCCTCCCTATCCCCCATTGTCCTCATCCATAGGTGCAGTTTATGTTCAGTCTCTTCTTCCCTCCCTTTCCCCAATAGTAAATCCCTTTTCAGATAGTAAATCAGTTACTTAGCATTTTCTCAAATCAATAATACCTCCACATGCCCAATGATACACTTCACACAAAAGACATTTCCCGATAGGTCCACCAGCCTCATCCAGGCCCCACCCAAGGCACTCACAGATCAACACCCCAGCCCTATGCTAACTCAACACATCCAGATCTAAGCCTTCATCACTTGATTCAGCAGACCCTCAAGTTCCCACGAAAGTTTCCAGCCATGTCTGAGAAGCAGCCGTGGGGCAGGGGCAGGCGAGGAGCGAGCTGTTCCAGGCCTGGCTGCTCAGGGCCTGGCCTCTGTTGCTCTGGTTCGTTCCACAACCAGCTGCTCTGGGTCTGGTCACTGCCTCTCCCGACCTAGTTGCTCTGGACTTGGCTGCTGCTGCTCCGGGCCTGGCCGCTCCCAGCCTGGCAGCCGCTGCTCCGGGCCTGGCCGCACCCGACCCGCCTGCTCCCCCGGGCCTGGCCGCTCCCAGCCTGGCAGCCGCTGCTCCGAGTAGGGCCAGATCTTGACAATAAAAGCAAGAGGGAGGCCTGGCTGGTTTGGCTCAGTGGAACCACGTCAGCCTGTGTACTGGGGGGTTCCGGGTTGATGTTACTCTCTCTCTCTCCCTCTCCCTTCCTCTGTGAAATCAATTAAAAAAAAAAAAAAAAAAAAAAAGCAAGAGGGAAACAAGGCAGAAGGTAGAATGAAGGGTTGGGGGTTTGGCCTTAGCCTGTTTTGCTCAGTGGTTAGAGTGCAGCTTCCGGTGAAGCACGTATCTCAGTTGCAGGAGGCAACCAGTCAGTGTGTCTCTTTCCTATGGATGTTTCTCTCTCCCCTTCCCCTCCCCAATCAATGGGAAAAAGTCCTCCGGTGAGGATTAACAACAACACAAGTTGGGAGTTTGAGTTTGTTTTTAAGAATGGGAGAGAACTGAGCAAATTTTTTGGTAAAGAGAAAGAAATTTAGGAGAGGGAGAACTTGAGATGTGTCTGAGCAAGTGAGCAAAACACAGCGGAGAGTTGAGGAAGGAGAGGTAAGGCTGGTGCGGGTGATGGGGGAGGAAGATCTGCCTGGGGACCTTGAGGCCAGGGCATCGGTGAGGGCTGGGGACCACAGGGGTGAGGGAGTCGGTAGACAATTTCACAAATTAGTGTCCGAAGGGTTTGCAATGCCCTCCCTGGGGAGAGGGGGAGAGGGGCTGGCTGGGGTTGGAGGAAGAGAACCGAGTAGCTCAAAGGGCCTGGCTAAGACTGGAAATCTCAAGGTTGCATAATACCACTCAGCAGCCCTGGGAGGTGAGGGAAACAAAACATGTGCTCTGAGCACTGCCGTGCACAGAGCATCTGATTAGTCCAGGCCGAAGCTCACAGGTGGTTGAATTGATCCCGGCTGTGATTGAATTAGGTGCAGATGGCAGGGGAACAGAAAGCCAAAGGAATTGAATGGGCTGGTGAGAACGTCTTGGAAATTATTTCCCTAAGGAAAGGAAACAAAGCTAGGAAGGGTCAAGCAGGCCCCAGGGATCAGGCGTTTGAGAAAGACGTGCCCCCGTGAGACGTGGGGAGAGGGAGACGCGGGGAGGGAGTGAGCTAGCGGCAGAGAAGGCTGGGGTCTGGGGCGTGAGGGCTGGCGCTCCTGGGAGTGGACCCGTACAGGGTGGGCCCGGGCTGAGAATGCTGGTGTGCGTGGGAGTCCTGGGACTGGGTGGGAAGGCGGGCTTTTTGCGAGGGTCTTCCCTTTCCTAGACCCCGTGGGGCCTGGTCTGTAATCAAGGCCTTTTGTTTCTGTGAAGAACATGCCTGGCTTCAGCACCGCCAAGAAGCTGGACAAGCTGGGGATGAGGGGTTCTAACACCTGTGAGCTGATCTTTGAAGACTGCAAAGTTCCTGGTGAGTCTAAGGAAGTGTGAGCCCCTGTGAGGACCCCTTCATAAGCAGAGAAAGCCCGCCCCTGGGTTAGAGAGGCTCCCCACTGTTAGCTGACCGGTGACTGCTGCTGCCGGACCCGTCCGTGAGCGACTCGGCCTGAGGGGCACTGCTCTCCCTGTGCCTGACTGAGGTGTTTGCTGTGTGGATAGCTGTATCTGGGTTGGAATCCAGCACCTGGAATAGAAAGATAAGATCCGCTCGGGCCCACGAATGCCCTTCAGTCGTCCTTGGTTGTCCGTTTCCCGGTACCGCCCCTGTGAGGTATTCATTAACAATGCTAAAAAAAAAAACACAAAACATCGAAGCTGGACTCGGTGAAGGGAAGGCAGTTCCGTTAGAGTATTTTCTCCCCTGAAGTATAACATTGTGGGAGGGCCAGCACACCCTTCCTGTGCTAATGAGACCAAAGGTGTGGATTTGATCACCAGCGAGGCTTACTCTGTAGTACCTCAGCCACAGACCACGCCTCACCCTCACCGTCCACCACCCAAGAAAAGAATGCTTTGGTTACAACAAGCATCCAGGGGGAGGGGGCTCAGTGCAGAGCCTCCTCCGTAAGCAGGAAGGCACTCGGAGGTCATCCGAGGTCCTGGCTCCAGGGTGGATAGGTCTCGGCAGCTCCTGTCACGGTGCGGACTGGCCGTCTCCTGACGGATGCCTGTTCCGTAGACACTCTTGGAGGGGAGGGGCCGGCTGATACTGGACCGAGGGAAGGAGTGATTACGGACTCAGGTGTGAAAATACCAGGAAGGGTTTGGCTGACTTCTAGACCAAATTAGCTTTTCTTCCCATCCAAGACAGCGGAGGAGGAAAAGGCCTAAGGGCGGGGCCTCTGTGTCTGGCCCTGTGGATGGTGTGTGCATGGGGGCGGGATGTCTGTCCAGCAGGCTCTGCTTCTGACTGGGAGTGCGACGGAATCACCCTCGCTGACGGCCAGGTGACATATGTCAGTGCCTTGTATAAGAGCCGCGGTACCAAACCTAGTAGCTCTCACAAAGGGAGAAGTCCGTGGATGGTGGGCAGCCCCCTCCCCTCTGACGGCACCTTTCCCGGCAGCCGAGAACATCCTGGGCCATCTCAGTAAGGGCGTCTACGTGCTCATGAGCGGGCTGGACCTGGAGCGCCTGGTGCTGGCGGGCGGGCCTCTCGGGTGAGTGTGCGGCTCAGGGTGCGGGTGTGGGGGCTGGGCTCTCGGCTTCCCTGGCAAGCAGCGCCTGGCACACAGCAGCCTCAGCCTCGGCCTTCCCCTCCTGGCCGATGCGCCTTCTTTCCTGGAAATAAAAGAGCCTTCTAGTCACACGTGTAATTTCTCCACACTGAGGGGCAAGAACATTCCTGAAAAGACAAAGCGTCTGAGGAGCAGTACTGCCTGTTTACTCGGGGTGTGAGACAGGGCACCCTAAGGCCCCACTGCGCGGGGGGTCTTGCCGCTCTGTCTGGTCTTGGGGTGCAGTGACCGAGCAGGGGTAACCCGTGTCCTCAGTCTCCTTTTCTCCTCTCTACAACTCCAGCTTTTTGTCTCCCTGAGCTGCCCCCCGCCCCCCTCCAAGCCTTTTCCCACTGGCATTTTGCCACCCCAGCCGGCAGCAGGGGCGGGGGGACAGTGAGGCACCGCCCGTGTCTTTGTCCTCCGCAGGATCATGCAGGCTGTCCTGGACCACACCATTCCCTACCTGCACGTGCGGGAAGCCTTTGGCCAGAAGATTGGCCACTTCCAGGTGAGGGGAATGCTTGTTGGCTTGTCCTCTCTCGTTGGATTTCAGTTTTCTTTATTTTTTATTATTTTTTTAAAAAAATATATATTTTATTGATTTTATACAGAGAGGAAGGGAGAGAGATAGAGAGTTAGAAACATCGATGAGTGTCATCGATCAGCTGCCTCTTGCACACCCCCTACTGGAGATTTGCCCGCAACCAAGGTACATGCCCTTGAACGGAATCGAACCCGGGACCCTTCAGTCCCCAAGCCGACGCTCTATCCACTGAGCCAAACCGGTCTCGGCAGGTTTCAGTCTTCTTTAAAAATGAGAACGTGGAGCATGTGCCGTGGGCATTTGCCAGCCTTCCCCGGCGGAGTGAGTGTGGGTGCTGGGAGGGCGGCTCCTGGGCGTGCTGCCTGGCTCAGGGAGTTGTTGGGAAGTTGACCACAGGTCTCCTCGCTTCCTGTTTGGGATGAAGGAACCAGGCGTTGTGAGGGCGAGGCGTGGGTAAAGGGGGCGCATGTCTAGCCACCCTTCCTGGTGCGGAGACACTGTGGGGCCCTAACGAGGGGGGCGGCGGGTGGAGGGCCTCCTCTCCTCCCTCTGTCATGCGACGCAGGTCCCGTCGGCTTTCTGAGCCCTGATGCTGCCGTGTGGCTGCGGATCTGCTCTTGGTGACGAGGGAGAGGGTCTGAGGGGGAGGTTGACTGTGCCCTCTCTGTGCCCAGCTGATGCAGGGGAAGATGGCCGACATGTACACCCGCCTCATGGCCTGCCGGCAGTACGTCTACAACGTCGCCAAGGCCTGCGACGAGGGCCACTGCACCCCCAAGGTGAGGGCCTGCCCAGAGGGGGGCCTCGGGCGGGTCCGGGGCGGCGCTGTCCCCGGGGCCTGGCGGGGCTGCTGACCGGCCCTCCCCCCGCAGGACTGCGCGGGCGTGATCCTTTACGCGGCCGAGTGTGCCACGCAGGTGGCCCTGGACGGCATTCAGTGTTTCGGTGAGCGGCCCCCACACCCACCCCCCCTCCCCTGCCTGTGGCTGTTCCCTCCTCACCCCTCGGCTCCAGCCAGGCTGCCTGTGTGCATTTCTCTGGACACCCCACGGCTAATTCTGTTACAACTGCACAGCGGCTGCTGCCATTTTATATTAAACATCACGAAGCAGACCCATCTGCTTCTACTCTGGTGTTTTGGGGAGAAGCAATTGCCTCGCCTCCGGCCTGGCTCCAGCCCCTCGGAGAGGCCCTGAGCTTCAGCTAGCTGGTGCCATTCGGCTGCTTCTGCCCCAGTTATTACGAGAACATGGAAAAGCAAACGAGACAATTGCCGGAGGCAGCACGCCCCCTCACACCTAATCCTATGGACACTGGCAAGTGGGGAGAGAGGCCTCGGGGGGAACGGCCTGGTTAAGAGCACAGACTCGAGCCAGGCGGCCTCGGTCTGAGTCTTGGTTTAACCGCGGACCAGCTTTGTGACTTGCACAAATCGCTTCACTTCTCTGCACCTGGCACCCAGTAAAAGCTATGCAGCGTCTCCTTCCCCCCGTCTCCATGCTCACCAGTGTCCTCTCTGCCTGCCTGCTGCCCTGTGCCCTCTGGGTGGCCTTCTGGCCCCTTGTCCTCCCCAGAAGCTGTTCCCCACACCACGCCCTCGCACCACCTTTCGCTGTCCTCTGGAATCAGTCTCTCTCCCGCTGGCCTGTTTCTGTGTCCTCGGCCTTCTGTTTGCTTCTCTCGCTTTGCCCACTTCCCTGTTATCCTCTCTCTCTGCCCACCCCCTGGCGACAGGTGGCAACGGCTACATCAACGACTTCCCCATGGGCCGCTTCCTGCGGGATGCCAAGCTGTACGAGATCGGGGCCGGGACCAGCGAGGTGAGGCGGCTGGTCATCGGCAGATCCTTCAACTCGGACTTCCACTAACGCCGGCCGGTCCCCCCTTCCCGCACCGAGAGGCCTTTCTTCGGGAGGAGAGCCTGGCAGCGCTCCTCCCGCCGAGGCAGGCCCGGGCTCGGCCGCTCGCACCCGCCTGCTCGCCTCTGCGATGGCGGCCGAGCCCATGGGCCCGGAGCCCGGCCAGCCAGCCTGGGAAGTGTTCGGTGGCTTAACATGGACGTGACGGGAAGCGGGTGGCTTTTCTGGACTGTGGGCTGGCTTTGGTGACTGCCCTCGCGCTCTGAACCCCAAGCCTGCCGCACCCTCCTCCCGGGGTGGTCACCTGGGGGCAGGCAGACAGTCACCTCCTTTTTGGGCGTGAGCCTTGGCAGGGGGCCCTCTGCTCATTTACTTGTGCCTGGTAGCTCTTCCAGGGGGAAACCCCCCCAAAACCTAGCCTTTCTGTCGATTTCCAGAGGCATCTGCCCCTTGCCGCTTGTGAGCAAGCACTCCCTCTTCATGGCCCTGCATCCTTCCCCTCTTTAGGGCTGAAACCCCCCATCGGGGAATGGGCATCTGAGAACATGTGCCATCCGACCAGCCGTCACCAACCAGTGGCCCACGAGGCCGGAAAGGTTGGCGACCGCCGGTCTAGGCTCTGGTGGGGCAGAGGTCAGCATGCTGGTCGGGGGTCAGCGCCTCTGAGCCCTTCAGCACTGCTATGCCACCACCGCCGCCATCCTGGCCATGTGACAGCCCGCGGCCGACCGGCCGGGCAGCAGGCCTGCGTTGGCTGGCTCGGCTCCAGCCAGGCTGCCTGTGTGCATTTCTCTGGACACCCCACGGCTAATTCTGTTACAACTGCACAGCGGCTGCTGCCATTTTATATTAAACATCACGAAGCAGACCCATCTGCTTCTACTCTGGTGTTTTGGGGAGAAGCAATTGCCTCGCCTCCGGCCTGGCTCCAGCCCCTCGGAGAGGGCCTGGTCTGGGGCCCGCCCTCCGGTCGGCTTACTGAAGGGGAACACCGGCGTGGAACCGGCCCTTAGAAGAGGAAAAGTCTCAGCCTCTCTCTCCCAGATCCCCAGGGATTTTTTAAAGGCGCGTTGGAAGTGGTAAAGAGCCTTGGAGCTAAAAGGAAGCTCATAAATTTTGAAACCATCCCTGTGGTTTGTTTATTTGTTTGTTTGTTTGTTAGTCCTCACCCAAGGGTATTTTTTTCATTAATTTTTTTAGAAAAACTGGAGGGGGGAGGAGAGCAATAGAAACATCGATGTGAAAGAGACACATCTGTTGATTGCCTCCTGCGTGCACCTGTCCCGGGCCAAAGGCTGAGCCCTCAGACAGGAACCCAGAACCCTTCAGCTCCAGGGCCAGCCCTCTAACCACTGAGCAAAACTGGCGAGGGTCGTCCCCATGTTTTTTAAAAGAGCAAGACAGTTTAATTTTCCCAAGGCCCAGGGCTGGTGGCCCTGCGCCTTCACTCCCCCCCTCGGCCTCTCGTGCTGGTGACTGTGGCTAGGATGGCGGCCGTACTGGGTGTAGTGTGTAGCGGGAACACCAGCCTGGAGACGTTCAGAGTGTGACAGAACGGGACGTTTTGCCCAATCAAGATGGGTTACAGACCTTGCCGCCACCTTGGGAAGAAGAAAGTGATTGTTCTCCTAAAACCAAAAAAAGGTGCAGCACGAGTCATGAATGGAAGAGCAGGGGCCCTTCCACGTTGGGACTGTGGGAGCTCCTGCTTGTTTAACGCACCGTGCAACCCCGGCCTCGGCTGCCAGCCCTGCTCCTTCCCGGCTGCCGCCAACCCCACTCCAACCGCACGCAAGTCACTCGGCCCAAGCTCCCCGTCACTGCCCGCCCTGTGGGATGGTGGTAGAAGCTAAGGGGATGGTTCTCCTATTGTGGTCTGGGCACACCCTTTACGAGAGCTTGGCAGCTTGGCAATCTGTAAAAAAGTAACACACAGATTCCTGGGTGGGCTCCAGACCTAGCCACCGCTCCAGGGGTAAGTCTGAGGCACAGGCCGCCTTTCAGAACAACTGGTCTGTCTGGGGCTTTGGCTACAGGATGCTTCCCAGTGGCCTGCGTCCAGTTCTAAACCCATGGAACCTAGTAATGGCGGTACCTTACCGATGCAGTGCTCTCAACACTTTTTTTTTTTTAATGTATTTTACTGATTTTTACAGAGAGGAAGGGAGAGGGATAGAGAGTTAGAAACATCTATCAGCTGCCTCCTAATTGAGGGTGTGCCCGCAACCAAGGTACATGCTCTTGACCGGAATCGAACCTGGGACCCTTCAATCGCAGGCCGAAGCTCTACCCACTGGGCCAAATCAGCCAGGGCTCAACTCTCCTTTTGACATATCACTTCCTTGATCTTCCTGACAACCCTGTTGGCAATATAAGGTTGCACACGGTGTGGTGGGTGGAGGTGGAAGAGCTTAAGGGGAAAATAAACCCATTAAAAGTTGCACAAGAGCCCCGTTCCCAGGGACAGGTGAGTGGCCCAGGGACGCGCGAGCACATCGCAGACGAGCCAGCCCCGCCCAGACGCTGGGTGGAACCAGAGCCGGAGTCAACCAGCGTGAAGGGGGCGCTCAGTTCATTTCCTGCCCCGCGGAGCCCGGACTCTTGACCCGGGAGGCTGTTCGACGTGACCCCCAGTTTAAGGGGGGTTTGGGCCCTCCGTCTGCCGCGCCCAGAAACGCTAATCCGGCTCCCGGGTTCGGCGGCTCCGCGGGCCGTCCGTGGAGCTCGCCTGACCCCTGCCGGCCGGCCGCGGGGTCGCAGGCGCGCAGAACCCTCCGCTCAGCCTTCGGTAGGTGCTCGGCCGGCTCAGGGCTCAGTGAGAACAGTACGGGGAGAAAAAAGCCCGCTGTCTTTGTTTTCTTTCATACAAGGAAGTCCGCTTTTTTGGTAATTAAAAAAAGAAAGGACTTAAACTCAACACAGGCCAATGATGCGTTTAAAAAATTTGTATGGTGAGTTTTTAAATATAGTTTAAAGGCTTATTTTAAAACCCTTTAAATTAAAAATAAAATCCTTGTCTTCGTTGCCTCACACACACACACACACACACACACACCACGCACCACCAAAGACAGACAGACAGACAAACCCTCACCACTTTTGAATCTTTAAGAGACTTCCTTTGGTAATTCACTTCATACCTCTAAGTGATATGCTTACTTATTGATTTAATTACAGACACTTCTAAGGACGGTTCTTTAAAGTGCATACATTTGGCTTATAAGAAGCTCATTACAGGCCCATATTTTCCTGACTTTCTCAAACCAGTCCCGTCCACAAGCCAGAGTTTGGGAGCCCGGGACCAGATGGTGCAGCATCCCATCCCCATTCCTGGCTGTCCCCTGCCTCTGCCCACACTTAGTGCTCCCCAGTGCCCAGCGCTCAAAGCCACACTGGTTCCGCCTCTTCCTGTGTGCTCCACCCGGGCACTCCAGCAGAGAGCTGTTTTCGAAGCTGGCCTCTCTCATACCCACCATCCACCCAATCCAACACAGCCTGTCTGAATATTTCTCTCCCCCCCCCCATTTTTTATTAAGGTATATGTATACATATTTTACCATTGCCCACCCCCCATATCCCACTCCCATACATGCCCTCACCCCCCCGAGTTTTATATCCATTGGTTATGCTTATATTGCATGCACACAAGTCTTTCGATTGAGCTCTTATCGCCCCACCTGTCTCTAACCTTCCCGCTGCAATTTGACATTCTGTTTGATACTTGACTATCTCTATTCTAAATATTCCTTGAATCCACAATAGTCTGGCAACTTGCCTTCCTTCTCCCAGTCCATGCCCTTCAACCCTTCCTCTATACTGAGCTAGAGTGAACTACCAAGCTCCCCCTAACACTCCAGGGGCTCCCAGCACCTGTAAGATCCAAGATCTGGCCAGGCAAACAGGACTCTGATCTGCCCAGCCTCCCCTTCCTGCGGCTCCTCTCCCCAGGCCCGTGAGGACTTGGGTTCAGTTGCGCAGAGTACTCATAGCGCTGCTTCTTGCTCCTGTGCCTCTGTCCCAGAGATTCCTCTGCAGAGGAAGGCCTCGCCCTGCAGCTTGCCCTTGCCTCCTCACCCATAATGCTCAGGTCAGGAGCCGTCCCCTCAGGGAGACCTCCCTTCTCCAGCCTTTCCCCACTGCTTGTCCCCATCCTGCCCATCCTGAGTGGGGCCTTCCTGCATCTCCCTGGCCATAGCTACATCTGTGGGCTTGCCCACTGTTAGGTTTATCTCGTTTATATTTGCCCTGGACCAGCCTAAAAACTTAAGGGCCAGGATTGTGAATGTAACCGCCTTTATGGTGCTCACCATCCCGCATGGCTCCGGGCACATAACAGATGCTCAACAAAGGTTAGTGGAAAGAGTAGAAGGGTTGCCATGTGTCACTCAGCTCACATTTTCTGGTATCATGGCTATTTGTGTGTGTGTGATCACCTCTGGGTATATGGTAAGATCTCTGAGGTCAAAGACCACTTCTCACTTACCCGAATCCTCCCAACCGCATCCCCGGCTCACAGAAAGCCCTCGGCGACGTTCATGCTGAATGAGTGAAACAACAGGTGGGCAGAGCCGTGGCCTAATCCCCGAAGTCGGCAGGAGCAGCAGAGCCAGCCGGCCTCGCCTGGCCCTGCTTTCCCATCACCCTGGAGTGGCCGGGACCCATCACCCCCCGATTCCTCTCACCTGCTCAGGAACAGAAAGGAACTGTGAGGGACACTGGCCCCTCTTCTGCCAGCTGAGGACAGGAATGGGGGGTGCTGGATGTGTGGTGTATACACAAGAGTATGTACGAGGCATCTGCAATGCAGAGAATAGTGATACATTCCTATGGACCCAGCACAGGTCAGTGAGAACACTCCCATTACCTGAGGGCCTCATGTCCCCCCCCCCCCCCAAAGGAAACAACATCCTGAGTTTAGTGAAAATCCTCTCCTCACTTTTCTTTATGGTTTCCTACCTTTGTGTATACCCCTAAACAATGTTGCCTAGATTGCCTGTTTTTAAATGTTCGCCATTGGACTCAGACTTAATATATTCTTTCATGTCCTGTTTCATGGGGTCATTACTGTATAGGTTTTAAAGACTTCTTCATATTAATGAACAGAGCTGCAATTCGGCCAACTTCTTTTCTTGTATAGTATTCCGTTCTGTGGAAAGGCTGCAGTTTAACACCCATCCCAGCGTTCATGGGCATATGGGTTGTTCCCAGTTTGGGGCCACTCCAAAACACTATGCCTTCTGGTTTATGTGTGCCCGAGTTTCTCTAGGTCCGTTCCCAGGAGTGGAAGTTCTGTGCCATAGGGTATACACCTGATCAAATTTACTAAGTAATTCCAAACTGTTTTTTCTAAGCTTGTTGTGCACCTATATTTTTTAGAAAAATGCCACCAGAGGTGACCCAGGGCAGAGGTGGCATGCCAGCCTCGGGGCCAGCTGCATGAGCTGATTTCCAGCAAGGGAGAAAAGTCAGATGGCAAGAGTGAGCATCCTGCTCCCCTGCCCCCGGGCCCATCA